AATGTGTTACCTATAAAATAATTTGAAACATTTTAAAAGATACTCTGAACATACGTATAATTTATGACCTTTGATGAATTTGAACCTGGAGCCTCGACTCAGAAGAGCTCAGGAATATCTCCATGAATATCCATGCCCAAGCTATTTTAAGCTACTGAAGCAGATGGAGCCAGCCAAACCCCAACAAGTGTGTGGCCTTTTACGCAGCACCCTGAACAGATGAGCTGCCTCCTCAGGAGACGCCGCTGATCACACACAGAATGTTAATCTATTCACAGCAGGAGCCTGAAGAAAGGAGAGTCCCTCAAACCTAAGATTGCTTATTGAAGGACATTACTGAAAAAAAAGAAAGAAAAAACACACAGAGAATACCCACATGAGGAAGTGATCTAAAGTTAGTTAGCTAAGTCTGAACTGGTTTCAGTTTGTATAATACCCCACACTGTAGGACAATTAGTTCGGCTTTAGGGAGAAAAGAAAATTACTTTAAATTTCAATCAGGCTCTCTGATCAGGATGAAAGATATGTGAAGATGGTTCCTTATTAGATTGCTTCATTCTAATTAGTAAATTTGCCCACAGGTGGTACTTTAGTCTTTGGTGGCTCACGATTTCACTTAAAAAAAAAAAATCTCTATTTAAAATATTTATATTCATTAAATAATCATTGCAAACATGTATGGCCTAAATAGCAGTATTATAGTTTTCAACATTGATAGAAGGACCAAAACAATAGCAGCACACTACTCATATAAAATGCATAAAATAAACGTTTACAGCTCACTGCTCACATAAAATACATGTAACATATCAATTTATGCTCTAAAATCTTTCCATCATCAGTTGTTAGTTATAAAGAACATCATTTTGTAACAATTTACTTGAAGTGGGTATTTATAAGACCCTTAAAAATATATTTACAGTTGAAACCAGATGTTTACATACAGTACACTCTAAAAAAAGGAACATAACCATTTTTTTTAAAAATGTCTGATGGTAATTCATACTAAACGTTTACTATTTCAGGTCTATTGGAATTACCTAAATGATTTACATTTGCTAAATGCCAGAATAGTGAGAGAATTTCTTTGAGAACTTTTTGATAATTTCTAGACAGTCAAAACTTTTTATACATTTCCTTGGTATTGTTTTAGCTTTGCTTTTAAACTGTAAAACTTTGGTCAAATGTTTTGTGTATGCTCCCACAAGCTTCTCACAATAGTTTGAAGGAATTTTGGCCCATTCCTCCTGAGAGAATTTGTTGTAACTGTGTCAGATTTGTAGGCTGTCTTGCTCACACAAGCTTTTTCAACTCTGCCCAAACATTTTCTATAGGATTGACATCAGGGCTCTGTGATGGCCACTCCAAAACAATCATTCTGTTGTCCTTAAAGCACATTTTAACTAATTTAGCAGTATGCTTAGGGTCATGGTCTGTTTAGAAGACCCATTTGTGGCCAAGTTTTAATTTCCTGGCTGATGTCTTGAGATGTTGCTTCAGTATTTCTACATAATGTTCTTTCTTCATGAAGCTATCTATGCTGTGAAGTGGACCAGTACCTCCTGCAGCAAAACAGCCCCACAACATGATGCTGCCGCCCCCATACTTAACAGTTGTCATGGTCTTCCCTGGCTTGTTAGGTTTTCCCTTTGTTCTCCAAATGTAACAGTCATTATGGCCAAACAGTTCAATCCTATAGTTCCATCAGACCACAGGACATGTCTCCAAAAATGATTCCTTTTACCAGTGTAATTTAGCAAATTGTAATCTGGCTTTTTTTTTTTTTTTTTTTTTTTTGATTCTGGCTTGTTGGTTTTCCCATTTCACACAAGGAAGCACTTAAGAACTTAAATGTTGTCAATTAGCCAATCAGGAACTTTCAAAACCTTGTCACCATCATCTGAGCTTTTTCAGAGGCATTATAATCTTATTATATGTAAACTTGACATTTTTTGGGGTGTCTATCCCTTTAAAATCAGTCAGTATAGCATATACTGTTATGCCTGCATTACATTTCACTGACTTTATTTCCTGCTACACAAATCATGATTTTACATTTCTTGCTGTAGTTTTTTTTTTTTTTTTTTAATCTTGGGGACAGCAGCAATGCATATTTTAGCATGTCTCCCTTATTTTACACACTTGATTCAAACCGTGCATGTTTAACTTTTTATTTTGGGCATTCATCACAACACACTACTGCCACCAGGTGTTGAGTTGCAAACATTGGCAGCTATGGTAATTTAATATCAAGCATTTCCACAGCTTGAGGTTGATCAATTTACTCATTCTTTGCAAGACGCTATATTTTACAATTGTTTATAGCTTAATGTTACAATTAAATACAGTTAGTCAATACAAACTGGCACTTTTATTGTTTAGTGCATAATGCAAGCAAAATCTTTAAAAGATGTAGGATACTATAATGATCTCATACAATGAAAGTGTTATTTTTGTATCAGTAGAAAGTTCAGTTAGGATTTTATATGGGATATTCTACCAAAAACATACATTTTCACTTATAAAAAACGTGACAGGGCCTGACTTAAGCTTGTCGTTCTTAAAAAAAAAATACAAAAGCAAGCATAAAATCATCCAGTTCAATGATAGAACTCATCCTTGATCACTGTCAGCTTCTTTTCCATCAAATAATGTCACTTTAAAGTGAGTTTATGTTAAATTTAATGCAAATGTGACAGGACTGACAGAAACAAAGAAACAATTGTACATTTATTTTTATTAAATAGCCTATTTGTAGTATTTATTTGTAGAATTTATTAATAGTTTCATGTTTTTAATCAATTGATGTGAATAGTAACAACTTAAACTTACTATTTCTGAAGCATTTTCTTTCTGAATAACAGTTTTTAGCATAACAAAACTATTAAAGCTGTAGCTTCATTTGGGCTGTGGACAAGGATAGAGTTTGTACAGAGTAAAGTGCTTTTAATAAAGAAAACAAATCTGAGAAACAAATTAATGATTCCTTTACAGAACAACTCACAGAAATCCTTCATCAGTTCAGTTTAGATATTTATGGGATAAAATACTATTTTATTTACTGTATTTATGTTTTTATTTCAGGGACAGATAATGAACGTTTCTGGTGGAATGCCCCATATAAGTGAGGCTAACAACAGTATACTTTTTAGTAGCTTTTTTTATTCACTAATTTCCTCACACTAGTGAATACTGAATGATTAGTTGGTTTTGTGGGAAAAAAAGAAACAAAAATATAATTTAACTTCACAGTAATTAATATATCTTAATATAGTAATCTTGCTTGTTTTTTACCGAGCTATGTTTGAAAGTCTTATTCGCTATGGAATCACAGTCTGGTTTGGAAATCTGTCTGTTCAATAGAATTAATTAATGTTAATTTGGAACAACTTCAAGCATATTAATTGCTATTTTATATACACTTAAGATTAACTTTAAGCTATTTGAAATATGTTGCAAAATACTTAGTTATGTTAAAATGGACATACTTTAAGTACAATCAAAGTGTACTTTTAAAAGTGTATTTTATTTAAAGTACATTTAAATTAAATCTTTGAAACACAGTTAAAGTATATTTTAAACACAGTTGAAGTATATTTTAAGTTTAGATAAAGTGTATTTTAGCCCAGCTGAGGGTATTTTAAAAACTAATTAAAGTATAGTATAAGCCCAGTTGAAGTATACTTTAAGTTCAGCTGAAGTATAATTTAAGCACGGCTGAAGTACATTTTAATACTTTTTAGATTATTGTTTAAGCTCAGTGGAAGTATATTTTAAGCTTCACATTATTGTGTTATTACTATACATTTTCAGAGTACTACAAGACCTATTTATTTCAACAATAATTAACAAAATCATTCAGAAGAATTTATTTTTAATACAAACACAAATAACTGTATGGTTTTTGCATGCTTGAAATCTGTAATTTTCACCTTTTTAAATTGACAATTAACATTGTATAACAGTGTGAATAAAATATTTTGAAATACAGGCTAAAGCACATGCTCATTTGCAGTATTTAAATTAAGTTTCATTATGTCTAAAATAATTACAAATAACATGCATATACTTTAAACACACTCAAATTGGCACAGTTTCACAATGTTCTTATACAAAGTACACATAAAACATACTTTAAGATAAATAGAATTAGCGTGTTCTCTGTAAATACAGTAAAATGCATAAATAGTATGTTTGAGTTCTAGCATATATATATATATATATATATATATATATATATATATATATATATATATATATATATATATATATATATATATATATATATATATAAATTAAAATGCAAAACATTTAGAATGCACTTTAACTAAGTATGTTATTTGTGTTAATTGTGCTTTAAAGCATACTATCTACATTTCAAGTACATTTGTAATATATTTCAGAGCACTTCTTTATCACCTGGGATAAGACCAATAGATTGAAGCTTTTGTTTGTTCCTACCTTGATAAAACTATTAGCACCTGAGTGTGTTCTGTGCTTTATATATTTCATATTTTTATATATGGTCTTATTTTGTAAGCATGTTCGTAATTGTACTTAATTGTTTTGTTTGTTTTATGTATTTTATTGTCCGCTTAGAGCAATGTTGTAGCACCTTTTTGCCCAAGACAAATTTATTCTCTGGGACAATAAAAGTTTATCCTAATCCTAATGTCAATATAGGCTAAATTTTAGCCTATTTCGTAAAATGCCATATATGTCGTCGATAACTGTTTACACAAAGCAACACTGTACATAAAACACTATTCTTTTTATGTGGAGCAGCAATGGGGAATTTTAAAACAGTAGCACATTGTTTTCAGCTGATATCCTTCATTCTTATGTAGACAGTGGAGTGTTTTTCCTGTGCCTGCCTGTGAGATTTCTCTCATTTTCCCATCAGTTCTACTACAGGTCCCGCCTCCTGACTTAGGATTGGCTGTTTGTAGACAATAACATTCAGCGATTGGACCATTGACACGTCACTCATAGAATAGACCGCCTTTGTGTGCGCAGTATCCCACTGATGATGGCGCTGTAAACACTGTGACGCGGCGTTGCGCAAACCACAGATCGCTGTTGTATATGTGGACGAGCTCGAGATACGCTATTCACGTCCACAGCTTCATATGCAATCACATAAACAAAAGACACACGAGGACCGCTCGTCAGGGGTGCAATGGCAAGGAAAAGTGCAATTCCTCCTTCATACTATGGTAAGCGAACAGCAGCAGCTCGTGAGTCGAGAAGATCAAGTTTTTGCAGTGATTCCAGCATTGACAAAGAGAACTGACCCAGTGGTGATGCTGGTGTCAAACCGACTCATTATTCAAGTGTTTTCTCGTGCAGTTTATATTTTAAAGATATGTATGTAGGACAGTGGCTTCCCTAGTGCGTTTTCATACAGATGAGTGCAGTTACTTTAGTGCTGTAGCCTAAAAGTGGATGGAGTGCAGTGCACACAACAATGCGCGGATTCGGATTCTGAGATTTAGTAATTAGCAAGAGATGTAATTGGTACGTCATAGAAGTGAAGTAGAAAGCGTCTAATATAAGCAAACATTGATATAATGGGAAACATAGATGGTGTTTATTTCAGAATACTAAGTGTTTTGTGTCTTTGTGCTGTGTTAAAGGGATAGTTCACCCAAAAATGAAAACTGACATTATTTACTCTCAATTGAGTTACTCATTGAGTTTTTCTGTCCACATATGTTGGTTGTGATAGAGGTAAAGTTGGTTTTATATTCGCACATTCGTTCATTTAGAAGTCTCTATATTGTTTACCATGTTACTTTGATTATTTGATCGGAACTAGCATGGAAGTATGACTTTTAAACAACATTAACACTGTTTATTTGACTGTAAACAATGTTGTACTTTGATTGTCATTGGCTGCTAATATGATTTCGCTGTTGAGACTTTGCAAATAATACTTTTATGAAATTATATTATTAAGGGGAAAGTCTTTATGTGTGAATACAAAACCAACTTTACCTCTATCTGGTTGTGTAGCCTACTATAACAAATTGAGGTAAAGTTGGTTTTATATTAGCACTTTTGCCTTAATAATGTGATTTCATAAATGTATTGTTTGCTAATTCTAAATAATAATATCATATTAGCAGCCAATGAATTTCAAAGTACAACATTGTTCACAGTTAATCAAATAGTGCTTATGTTGTTTTGAATTCATACTTGCATGCAGTTTAAGACCGAATACTCAAACTAACATGGTAAAGAATATAGAGAGAGCGTCACATGCTGTCACTGTTTAAAATATGCAAATATAAAAATCAACGTTTACCTCAATCTATAATAATACCACTACAGTATATGACAGCTTAATGAATAGTTAACCTAAAATTTAAATTTTACTCACCCTTGACTTGTTTCAAAGCAGTTTGAGGTTTCCGTTTTGTTCTGTTCAATACAAAAGATCATTTGAACAATGTTGTAAACCTGTAACCACTGACTTCCAAAGTATTTGGTTTTATACTATAAAAGTAAAGGGTTATAGGTTTTCAAAATTCCCCAAAATATCTTCTTTTGTGTTCAACGGAACAGAAATGAAACCTCAAACTGCTTTGAAACAAGTCAACAGTGAGTACCACTTTTTTTGGTGAACTATCCTTTAAGCTTTCATATGCAGTACTAGTACTGTAATAGTAGGCTAAGCAACCAGCCTTTGTAGACAGACCTTAAGAATCACTGTTTGCTAGCCTATTTGCGATATCAGGTTTCTTTAAAATTAAGTTTAAACTACAAAGATGTTTTAAAAGCGCTTCTTTTCATAGTATATGCTTAATTAAGTTGTATTCTTAGATAAATACATAAAACATAGTTAGATTCTGATTAGCGGCAATGGTGTGCTCACTTGCAAACAATTGTGCCATTCAAGAGTTCTCACTTAGATATTGCTTGACGTTATTAGCAGGCTTGGCATATCAACGGGTCCAAGATCAGGAAGGTCTTGAGAGCTCAACCTGGTAAAGGGAGGAAAAGGAGATGGGGTGGAAGGAGCGATTCTTCCAAAATGAAGATGGGGTAGTTGAGTGAATTTCGGGCTATTTGTTGTAAGCTTGAATCCATCTGATTGGATTATTGCTGATTACGAATGAGAGGCCAGCCGCGATCAATCATGTCACATGCTCCTCTCGAAATTAGTTTATAAAACTTCACTTGTTAGTGCAGTTCATGAAGACTTGCATCCAAACCTTTTAGTGTGCACCAAACCAAGTAGTGAAGCTGGTTCTCAAGGTGCTTGCAGACACACTCTGGTGTGGTTCGTCTGAAATATGAACAGAAAAGGGACTAAAAGACATCTAAGCAAACATTAATAGGACATGATGCCACAAAAAAAAAAAGACAGGATGAGCTTGCACACCGCTGTCTTCTTGTTACAGTCGTGATGTTGTGAGCTTCACAATTTTGAACACATCCCTAGGTGTTTTTGTTATTCATCAGTTGGAGAAACGTTTTGTTTTTCTGAAAGTGTTGCTGACCAGTGATCTTAAGCTGTTGCTATTGTGTGATTTAGACTTGCTTATTCTCATAAAATCAAAATGATTTATAAATCTTCACATTTGTCCTCTAAATGTATTGTAGGTTATGATACATACAGCAATATTGTGCACAAATAGTGCTGCAATTTTATGATCACAAGACTGAAATAATGCTAAACTTTTAGGTCTCTGACTTGTACTTTGGTAGATGTAGACACTGTTGTTTTTAATATAAAAAGTTGAACTGTGCAGTGTGCACCACACAGATACTATAGGTTGTTTTCAGTCATGTAATTCTGTGGATGCGTGAAATTCAAATGGAGGGCAGGAAGTAAAAAATTGAATTATACACCATCACAATGTACCACAGTTTACACTAACGTTACGGTATTTATTACAGGTAATCAGTTTACTTTGCTACAGTATTCTGTAGCATTCATTAACAAAGAATTGTACACATTTTACACTTTACTATGTGGTTATATGTTTGCTATAAATTACTATAGTTTTTTTCACACTGATATCTTCCAGGCATCACAAAATAACAGATGAAAGCATACAAAGCATGGACGCTCAGTTTACATTATTATTTATTTATTTTTGTAAGGGGGAAGAATAAGTGCTCCACAATAATAACCTTCAAGTTTTGTCTCAAGGGTTGCATTTCATTTTTCGGTCGATGAACTTACAAATCAACAAACATTCACCGCTGCTGCACTTCTCAATGTTCACGTTACGGTTGTTTATTCTGCCGAAACACCAGTAAAGACATGGATTATTGCAAACCAAGACAGAGATTTCATTGCAGCGATTGCATGGCAGGGTACGTTAAATTGTCCTGGATTTTGTATGTGTGGTGGTGTTTGTATCTGATTTTTGTATAAGACATGAACATTTTTATACACATAGTTAGGCCTGTATATAATCTTTATTAGTCTATTAGTATATAATCTGTTAAACTAATTATCATGTTGAAAAAAAGTTTGTACACATGGATGTATTGAAAAAATGTTTATTACCAGGGTGTCCGAGGGGCCTTAAAGTCATAAATTTCAAAAACCAAATTTTAGGCCTTAAAAGTCTTAAACTTACTAAAATATTGTGTTGTATGTTCCTTTAGACATTTTTACTGAAAATTCTCTCAATTTAATTCATTAATCAGGAAAAGAAAACTATAAACAATGACATAATTCCTAATGACAATAACCGTAATATATGCCTTTGAAGGGGTGGACATGATATTTATGAATAGGCATGAAACTTATAACAGTTTTATAACAAAAAAATTTATTTGGTTAAAATTCAAATATATATATATATATATATATATATATATATATATATATATATATATATATATATATATATATATATATATATATAGACATTAAAATATGTGGCAAGCAAAAACAAATTTCATTGACCCAACTGGGCCATTTAAAAAAATCTTAAATGTTTAGCTTCGCATAAGTCTAAAATTTCATTCACAATGGTCCTAAAAGAGTCTTAAAAAGTCTTAAATTTGACTTGATGAAACCTGCAGACACCGTGATGCCACCTTTTCTTCCGTTTTTCAGCCAGTTTCTGGAACTTTCCCCCTTTATGAGCAAAAACCTGTGGAAGTCTACAAAAGCTGTTTAGCATTTATCATTTGGCCAGATTTAAACAATTATAAACAACATAAAACAGAAACATTTTGATGTAGAACAATCCCTCCATCTTAATTTTGCGTGTCATCAATGATGTCATGTGAAAACAACCTATAAAAATACACTATTAAAAGTAATCTAACTCTAAACCAAAACTCCTGAATTTGAAAGTATCATTCTGAACCTTTAGAACACTGAGTAGTCAGGCTGGAGTCAGTTAACAGATTTACTTAACATTCCTCCATAGTCTTTAGAGACTTTTCACATTGTTCTGGAAAGCAGTCATTCACAGTCCCCCATGAGCTTGAGCGGAGCGCTCACAGACCCCCCCTAGCCATTTAACACTACTGCGCTAAATATTTTTTCAGAGACAATCTGGCTAATTATAATGCGCCAAAGGGATGCATCTGGTACACCAACGCACCCACAGCCATTCAGCACAACCATCTAAATAGAGTTGTAATTCTTATCATGTGGTATTCTCCATCTGAAATGCTATTTTTACAGCCTATAGACCCGTGTTTTTGGGGTGTCAAAGAACAAAGTTTTCTTTGTCACGTAAATAGCGCACGGAGCAGCTGTTTCTCTTTTTTGCTCGATCACGGTCAAGCTCTTTGCCCTTTGACTCGTGTATTGTTAAGTTCCCACGAGCCACCTGTCAATCACATGTTTTGTCAGCTAGAAGTGGGAAATAGTCTGCGGAGAGATCCTCAAATCAAGTTTTAAAATGTGATGTTATGCAGAACCATATGGTTGTTTTGAAGTCGCTTCTGTTTTTTTTTTTTTTTTTGTCACTGCATCAATCTGGCATCTGTTTCATTTCGAAATTTCAAAGGGATTTTGTTATGGGTTTGTTTGTCCTTGGATGGGTGTCATGGATGTGGGAGGACTGTACTGAGATGATTTACAGAGGTATCTGTACTTGTAGTTAATTTGAAGTGGAACTGTGTGGTTTCAAATATCGGAGAGTGCAGGGGTGTATTTGAAAAGGGGCTGAGCTTGTGCTGCCCTGCTCTGTTTGATAATTGAGCCCCTCAATTGTAATCCAGAACAATTTCTAGG